AGTCAATGAGAAGGCTCCTCACTAAAATATAATTCAAGTCTAAAAATTTTTTTAAGTATAAGCTGGAAGGAATCTGGCTGAAGTGTTAAAAAAATAAAACAAAACAAAAAACCCATAATACCAGCATGCCTGGGTTTGAACAACACTACTTCCTGGAATGTTCCTCCTAACTATTTCTGTAAAGAAGATCAAGGTAAAAATGAAATAACTTGCTTTATAAAATTATTTTAAGTAAGTTAAAAATATAAATATCTTAAAAAATAACTTTAGAGTAGTTGGTCTATAGATTCCTTCTTTCTAAAAATAATTAAGTGCAGGATTGGTTGTTTATTAAAAAACGAACCATGGAGAAAAAACCTGAAGCAAATACTTTTCAAATGAAAAACACGGTAATATAGCACACCACTGTTTAACCTACCAGACTACTTTTGTGTATCTTGTAAAGCAATTTTTGCTACTTGTAGATATATAAGCATATATTTCTCTCCCCCAAATACCTGGAACATCTCTTCCCAAAACTTCCACATAGTTCTGATCTTTTAAGACTTCCTGGTCATCTTCCTCCAAATCATATTCTGGCTTCTTTATTATTTTTTTTGTGTTGACCAAAAGCTGGGCTCGCTCCTTCTTTAATTTAGCTCCTATGAGAACATCCAAAGAATCAGAACGTGATAGGTACAACTTCTTTCTACATATTACATTTAAATAAGTAAACAAACTGTACTATTTATATTGCTATTACTTAAAAGCTAGGGCAAAAGTCGGTGTTTTCACTTTGATTATAACTAAGTTTAAGAAAAAACCACATACCTCAAAAGTGTGTATTTTGGGGAATCCAAATAAATACATATTTTAAGTTATCATTTACCACTACTATTGAGCATTTCATATTAGATGAGGCTTTATTTAAAATTTTCAATTAAAGTTTCAAATAATTAAACTAAAAATTAAAGCAGTTTTTATTTAGTCTTACTAGATCAAATACTTTGTGCTATATTTTCAAAATATTATAAAATGTTAAAATATTTTTAAAAATGAAATAATCCATGAGCATTAAAACAACCATCTCCTCAATTGTACAATCACTTAGTACCTCCTTCTCTATCGAGGATGTGATTAAGAACATCATCATCTCCCACAAATTGAACCTCCAGCATCTTGTCTTCCTTTATTTCCAGTTTACTTGTCATTGCCAACCTAAACAAAAGCAATAAATCACTCAAGAGCGATGAAGAATTCACATTGTCAAATTAAACATTCACATAATGAATATATATCTTTATGTTAATATTTTAAAAAGTCTTTTTTGAGACAGAGTCTTGCTCTGTCGCCCCAGGTAGAGTGGCATCATCATACCTCACTGCAACCTCCAACTCCTGGGCTCAAGCAATCCTCCTGCCTCAGCCTCCCAAGTAGCTGGGAATACAGGCATGTACCATGATGCCGGGCTAATTTTTCTATTTTTTGTAGAGATGGGGTCTCACTCCTGCTCAGGCTGGTCTTGAACTCCTGAGCTCTAGTGATCCTCCCACCTCGACCTCCCAGAGTGCTAGGATTACAGGCATGAGCCACACCTGGCTAAAAAGTCTTTTTATGTATAAAAAGCATAATGTGCATTATTGTATTAATATTATGTCTCTGACTGTAAATAACTCAATTCTTTATCTGAAAAATGAGGGACAAGGGGGAAGAGATGTCTGAGATTTGAGAAGAGCTAAATCCATCAAAGTAAACTATTAATACAATGCTGGGAAAACAATTCCATTTGTAAAGAAAGCTCTAATCCTGATAACTACCACATTAACAGAAACAGGGTAGTTAATATAAGTGTTTAGAAAAGGGGCAATGAAATAATTAATGGTTTGGTGGATTTTATTATCTGTTCACTAGAAAGATATATTCCATTGAGGAAAGTTTGTGATATTTCATTGGTGTCCCAAGCCTGGATCAAATAAACCCCAAGTACCTTCCTTTGCTTTTACTGAATGCTTACCGAACAACTTTGTGAATATTAATATGGCCTTCTAGGTATCTTGGCAACTAAATATTAATAATAAACATGAATCTTTCTAACATTTGATACTCAGTTCCTCACTGAACAAACTTCAGAATTTGACAAGCAAAGGTTTATTAACTCTGGCTATTCTGACAAAATTTAGTTTCAGAACTTATAATGCTAATGGCCTAAAACTAATTAATGATAATTCCAACTGCTGCCAACTAATCAGTTTACTCAAAAAAATGTAAACTAAGATTTGGTGAATTTTTTTCTCTCCTCTCTAACTTCTGTTTTTACCTTTTCTTTTGACAAGAGGAACTATTGATTGTGTCTCTCAGGAGTTAATTATCTGCGTGTAGATACTAATTCAATATTGCCAAGTTTTCTTTTGACAACTGGCACATTTAGATAACTTGTTTCAGTTTTCGTTTACCTTTTAAGGTACTATACATTCTGCAGCTGGAAAATTTAGATAAAGTCACCTGTAATCGGAAAAAGAACTCAGTCAGGGTTAGTGTGTAGGAAAATGAAAGCAACGAGGCAAAATTAAGAAGTTCACAAGTTTTAACAAACACAATGAATAGATAAATGTAGACCTTACAAAGCTAAAGCTGTCATGATGGTAGTAAGGATAAAATAATCATTACCATTTTGGCCAGGAAGCCCTAGAGACTGAGAACATCTGGATTTTGGGGGTAGCAGGACAAAATTTGAGTACTTACAATATACTAGACACAGTTTTGAGTACTCTAAATGTATTCTCTCTCTTTTCTTAAAATATTTTATATTTTAAATATTTTAATATTCTTTTTCTTTATTTTGTAACCACAATACTAACAAGGAAATGTATTCTCATTTAACCCTCACAATAACTCTATGAGGTTTACACTTTGTGTATAAATAAATACTTCATAATTTATGACCACTGCTTATAAAACTTATCCTCCTGGGCTATTTTTCTAGTCATGACACTGCTTCTTTGTCTATGGCCATATCACCCTGAATGCGCCCAATCTCGTCTGATCGCAGAAGCTAAGCAGGGTCGGGCTTGGTTAGTAACTTGGATGGATGGGAGTCATGATACTGCTTCCTATTATGGGGAATCTGGGTGTATTAGAGAAAATTTTTAATGCATTTACATGGTATCTGTATAAAATAAACTAACAATTTCTTTAATATTTGTATAAACAAACAGGTTCTTTGAGGAGCTGTTTGTCAGGTATTGTATTAGGCACTTTTATATATAACAGCTCATTAAAC